ATTTAGAAAGGTAGCAGTTTGTAAAGGCATTCTAGCATAATTGTCAGTTTAATATGTATAGGAAAACTCTTATAGAATTTCAAGAATACGGAATTATCACAATTTATGGGATATCGATTCACAAATAAATATTTCACAACAATACTATAATCAATTGCAAAAATATCAATTTTTAAATAATAAGGCAGTCATTTGCACATGAATTTTACAATATCTAAATATTAAAAAACAGTAGAAAGAAATATCACAATTTTACTAAAAGCAGAAATATCACATTTATTTCTAATAATTTTACAGTATCTAAAATTTCGGTTATGTTTCAAAATAATGACGTCGCGTGCGCATAAAATTTATCGCACCTAAAATTCATGATAATAAGTAGGAATAATTATTTCATTTCATTTTTTAAAAAGAATGGATTATTTTTCGAGACAATGAGGTCACTTACACACAAAACTTATAAAATGAAGATCCTGGACAGAAATATTACTATTTGTTAAAAACAGACTATTTTTCAAGAAGACGATGTCACTTACCTTAACTCTGAAACTGGGGAAGCAGATAGAACTAAGAAAACCAGTCTTTCGGTTTTTTTTTTTTGAATGGGGCTTTTCTACGATTGATCATATTTCAAATTCAGAGAAAAAGAAAGAACCCAAATGATTTTCTATCCACTGATTTCAATTTGTAGGATGGAAAGCCATTAACGCTATTCACATGTTCTTGCCACCATCAATCACTATTGATCCTAGCCACTTTTTGTATTTAGAGAGAGGGCGGGAACAAATTTGTTAAAAGAGATGTGCATAGGAGAGAGAGTAAAAGACGTATAAAAAAGAAACACCTCAATGCAAGGTGTCGTTTAAATGAGTGTTCTTATAAACCTTTAAGGTGGTGGACTTAAGGTCCACTCAAGTAAAATTGGACCCTCAAGTATACTAGCAATGATATCTTTTATTTATTGTTAATATAAAAGCAACAATATCCTAACGGTATAGTATTATTATCCTTATTATTATTATCATTACTAATATATGATTATTAATTTATTTATTTTTGTATTTATTTTAGTTAATGTTGTTACACAATATATATAAAGAAACTATATACAGTAAAACCATTTACTTTTGATACAAGGATGTCATAATCATTATTGACCTTTGGAAATGAAATCTAGTGATTGAGGATGTGTCCTTGATTGGGCACATAGTCCAAAAGACCTTTTTTTGAATGTGGTGACGTATTTCACTATATTGAATTTCACATCTAATGGTTAAAAATGATTGTGACCTCTTTGTACAAAAAGACAAGAGCGGTTTCTATAAGGTTGCAATGTTAAACAATCCAATTAAGGCTTACCTCCAAAATTTATGATAATGTATTTTGGTATAAAAAATAAGGATTATTTGAAAATCTATTTTTATATTATAAAATTTTAAACTTAAAAAATAGTTAAAATCAAGTAGATGTATAAATATATGAAAATCTTGAAAATGGACTGTCTAGACAATATGTTGCAAGATGTACTAGTTATGAGACTCAAAATCTTTTGTTTTTTCATATTTATACATCTCGATATCAAGATGATCAAATAGAGTGCTTTTCAACATTTAAAGAACCTTTGTCATGGATTTTTGAGATGCATATGTAATTCTACATTTTAAAGTTGCAACCTTATATAAACTTTTTTCAAAGGGGATAAATACTTTTGGGTGTGGTTTCCATAAGGTTGCAACCTTAAACAATCAAATTAAGGTGCACCTCTAAATTTTATTATAACATATAATTTTGATGTAAAATATTCTAATGATTATCTCAAAATCTATTTTCATATTTAATTGTAAAATTTTAAACTCCAAAAATGTTTAAAATCAAGTAGATCTATAAATATATAGAAATCTTAAAAATAGACGGTCTAAATAAAGTATTGTAAGATGTACTATTTTTAGAGCTTAAAATTCATTTTATTTTTCGTACTCATATATCTTGAAGATGATACTTTTCAACATTAAAACAACATTTTTTGATACATTTTTGAGGTGCATCCGCAGTTCTACATTATAAGGTTGCAACCTTATATAAACTTTCTCCAATACCCTCACGGTATATAGTCCAAAATATAAAAGCTGAGATCGCTGTGCGACGGATTTTGGGTGAAGGGTTTCTGGTAAGAGCCATATCAACTCTCTCCATACTCGCAAGGCGGAACCTACACGTTTCGAACCAAAAGCAGGGCGTATTTAAGAAAGAAGGGCCAAGAGGTGTGAATTGCAGAGGAAGCGAGCCATGGTGGGTTGTCTTAAACTGGGTTCTGTCCTTCTAAGTGTTTTTCCTTCTTTCTTTTCAAGTTTTTCCCCATCAATTCTCTCTTTCTCTCTGTTGCGATGCAGTTCTCCATTGCCGCCATCAATGACACCAACTCCGGTGGCCAGTGGGAGACTCTTGCCCCAACTAAGGAAGCACAGGTACTCTCTCTCTCTCTCTCTCTCTTTCTCTCTCTCCTTAGGTGTTTCTGTTCTTATGGAATTGTGTTACTTACAGTTTTGGGTTTGTCGGCTTCATGTGCTTGCTGGTGGGTAAAACGCTCCTCTCTCTCTTGTATGTTTCCTCTGGAATTATGCTTATTAGGAGCCCACTCATTTGCGTTGGTGAGGTCCGTCCAAATTGAATGGAATTCCTTTAGGTGTTTTTGCTGTACTTGTTCTCAATGTTTTGGAGTATGAAATCTTTAGGTTGGTTTTTCTGATGAATTTCATAGAAATACTTTATGAATTTATGAATCAAATAATTTACAGTGTGGTTTATCATTGGAGGCCTTTTGTATAAATTCTTTGTGGGGTTTCAAATTTTTGAAAATTATTCACTTATAGCAGTTAAGGCCTTTTGCCTAGGCCTGAGTTGATGGGTATCTCTTCATTGACTGATAAATACTTCACTGTTTATGAATGGCCTTGACAATTCCTTTTTCTATTGATCCCAGAGCTATTTTGGTTATGTTTTTCTTGAATAAGTTCAGGGAAAATAGCATGAGCAATTCATTTTTGAATATATCCAAAAGGACGACAAAACCTTGCCTCAATTCATTTATGCAACTCGCTGTTTGCTTCCATCGTCAAATGTGCTAATGGCCAGTGCTATTGATGCCTTGGTTTCATGCGTTTAACTTGAAAATTTTCTCAATTTTCTTGGGAGCCTCTCCTGCAGCTCACTGGAACATTTTTTGCTTGTCCAACATGGTTTATATCGTTATGCAATTGCATGCTTGTCCGTATAAGCAGGCACTTTTTTATTCATTTGCTTGTTGTGGAAATGGAGTAGTTGTTGCCTTAACCAGTTTGTATGTTGGTATCTCTTTGTGAAGTCGGCTTTGGAGTGAGTAGATGCCTGAATGAGTTTTCAAGCATAGATATTGTCGACATGCTCAAAGATTTTTGTTATATGTAATAATAAAAAAGAACTTTTGTTTGGCGAATACTAGCTGTCAAACATGCGATGGTTTGGAAGTATAGTAAAATTTCTGTTACCCAATAGAAAACTTATTATGCGTAAAGAATAACTGATTTTCATATATTTCCCTCCATGTTTTCCCTTTTCTTATAAATCTCGTGAATTTTCTTTCACCCTTTGTTTTTTTACTCTGAAATTTTTGCTGAACTTCCTTAGATTCTTTCATATTCCTCTTTGTGGGTGGGCAACCGTGTATCACCATGCTCTGGGTTTAGAGATATATATTACTAGAAGCTGATTACCCTCCATGTTCTATGTGGATGTGTTCTATTTTCTAGCATTTCACCAAGATATATAGATATGTTACTCTTCAGGATTATATGCAAGTCATTGGAGACTTTGGATAATAATCTTAGGCATACTATTTCTGCCATTATTTCTATTTGGAGTGATTCTCTTATGTATCCATCAATCATGATCGAGTGAATTAGCATAAGACCCACTTTCATTCATGTTAGGAATTTCATCTCACTCAAGAGTATCACGAAGGCCTTCTACAATTACAAGCTAAAGAATACTCAAAAGCTCAAAGAAATTTTGAAGCTGTCCTAAGAGATCCTCTCATGTCAAATGCACAGGTAATATTTACTTCAGAAAGGCACAGAGATTTAGTAGTGGATTCTTCGTAAATCTACTGATCTGTTGTTATTTTCCTTTTAGGTGGATGGTAATACAAGAGACGGTCATCTATTACAACTTAGGTTTGGACCTTTGAATCACTATTATTTTTATCTATTAATATGGTGCTGATCTATTTATTTGTGTGTCGAAGATGGTTGTGAGCTTACGGGAAGTTCATTGTTAGAAAGTGGGTCTTTGCCCATATTTTAAGTGTTTGATGTTTGGTTGAGTTTCTAATGTTGAATATGCCTTTTCTTTATTATTTTGGATGTTTATTTTGTAAAGTCCTTGTTGCTTCACATGTAAACCTTTAAAGTTAGTTTTGAAGGTGTGATACCAAGTCCAAGTGACACAACATGAATTTTCTCTTCATTTCAATACAACATAACTCAAGTACATCAAATTGTACATATACAATTCCAACTACTAAACTTGGCCTTAAATAAACTTTTAAAACAAAATAAGACTGTAATTGGTCCATATCCTTAGTTCATGATGCAATATACATCAACAAGATTGATTAAGCACTTGATCATATACATGATCTAAAACATACAACAATATACAAAAACATTGCCAAATTATACATAACCTTGGCATTTCATCATATACTTCAAATTCAAACTCCTTTCTCCAAGAATTGTGTGGGCATAGAATTTGATCATAGGAAGCCAATTATAGGGGTCATTGTGCCTGGTTTATAGCCTTGGGTCTTGGCTATGTACTATATAGGAGGACTTTCAATGGCATAATCACAAAGGCCAATTGCAACATAAAAAAAGGGGAAGCCTTTAAGCATCATATTATGTATACTTTCATGAGGCATTCTAACATATGAGAGGGTTTAACAAAATGGATTCAAAACCATTGGAAAAAGTGGGAGAAAAAACCGAGGCACAAATCACTCTCAATTTTGTGAGAAAATGAATAGCATGAGCATGGAGATTAAGACATAAATCTTCCTTTTAGAATCTCACCGAAATAATCAATTAGAGAGTGAATCAATCTGCCGATATACACTTGAAACACAGAAGAATTTGCAGAAATCAAATGATCAAAACTAGTGGGAAAACCATAGGAGAAATCGTGGCTCTTAAAACACAAGGCTGGCTCATAGAATTCATAAATCGAGCCACATAAATTTGGCATAATCTCCTCTTATGATAACAACAATTTGAAACATCAAAATGAAGATCTAATTGACTCATTTGGTTGTAAAAGTCTCAGAGAAATATCTGTAAAAAATTCTCAAAAAAAGCTCATGGAAACTAAATCAATTTGTGCATGGATGATGCCTTCAATTATATGGATCAAAAGGAATTAAAGTATCAAAGAGATTAATGATCTAACATCAAATTGATGAATGAAGCTTGCCGAAATTAGGAGTTTACAATAAGAATAATTAACTAGAATAAAAGGAAAATGATGTGTTCTTACTGATGAAGGCCTAAGACTAGATCATCCATGTCTTGAATTTGAGCTTTAATTATCATTAATGGAGCCTTCATGATGCTTCTATGGATTTCTCTCACATCACCTTTGCACACTTTGGAAGCGAGAGAAAGGGAGAGGAGATTGCCTAGGGCGTGCCACAGTAGAGAGGTTAGAGAGAGAGAAAGTGGCGTGCCACTCTAGTGAGAGAATGGGTTGTTTTCAAGTGTAGAGACTTCAAGGGGTATTTATAATGTTGAGTGTTGAGTGTAGAGATGCTTTAGATGTGCTTTAATTTTGGCCATTGAAGTCCAACATCCATGGCTACAAAGACAAGCTTGTTCCTAGCTCACCATCTACCATCAGGCCATCTTGATGTGTGGTATGGATTTAACATTCTTATCTTCCATTTTAATAACCATAATTCACTGTAATTTCCCTTGTATAAAATACCCTTGCTCTCATCATATAATTGAACTTAAAACGAGGTTGCAGGGCATACTCTTGAGGTAATTTGTCAAAGCTCCAGTAAAAATGAAATTTCAAAACTTCCGTCCATTTTGTAAGAGTATGTGGGGGCTAGTCAAATCATGCTGCATAAGTTAGGTGGTTAAGTGCACAACTACTACATACCCTTAGGGTTTAGATTGTAATTACAAACCCTATGCCCCTTCTAAAAGGGGTTCAGACATGTGCATAAACCACTTGCTTTGCACTTCTAATATGTTTCGAAATTAATTTTGTCAATTTTTAAAATAGCACAAAATCTAATATTACAAAACACATCCCCACATAACAAATTACACAATGACCTAGAAAGCCACCATGGGGAATGATGTCACCCCCACGTTATCTCTATTGGGGCTGATGTGGAGGCTCCCATGGCCCCATGTGGACACCCATTGGCCATTTGGGTGTCTCATGTGGGTCTAGTGGGTCTGTCCTTAATCGTATTTTGGTAAAAACAATTCCAGAAAACACTTTTTCTTATTTGGAAAAATCCAAAAAAATATCTAAAAATTCCTAAAAATCCTTTTAATTATTTTCCATCAAAAGAATCCATTTTCACAATGTTTAAAAACATTTTTAAAGGAAATTAGGATCTATGGATTTGAATTAGGAATCAGAGCACTCCACTTGGCTAGACATAGAATCGTAAGCCACCTTCTCGGTATGACCCAACATACTCATGACCCTATAACGTATAATCAGGGGCTCATGATATTGGCTTATCAAAGTCAAACCAATGAGTGACCCTGGATCCCAAGTACTAGTGGATTTCAAATGCACCCCTAGAAGACATGCATACACAAGGTGTGGGCATCCTCGCTTGGCACATGTGCATACCTCTTCTTAGTGGATCCCAGGAAAAGTCGATTTTCCATGCTTTGCTACTGTTTATGCACATGGTATGAGAAAGTTCTAAGAGTAAGGGTGTTACACTCCAAGAAATTTCAATACAGATATTCTTGAGATGTGACAGTCCAAAACATATATACATCTCTTGATAGGACAAATTTGCAGTGGCGAGGTCTTACAAAGTAAATAAAGAAAGCTAGCACAACAACAATATCTTCCAAGGTTGATCTTGACTAGCACTCAAAATGAATCCGCAGTTATCCTGAAAAAATGTTTACCATATTTTGATGAGTTTGGCTACTCAGTAAGTGATCATTATAATCCTAAAAATAATCATGGTTGAAAGACATCAATATTTTCAAAAAGGAGATCTATTAATAGAAATGCATGAACAGTTTCACTTTCAATAAATGCATAATTAAGTATAATCCAAATAATTGAAATGCATATAACACTTTAACGGCAGTACATAATTCAAAGGATTTCACAAAATACCCTACTGGCGTCCCAAGTAGGTCACCTATATACCCACCCCATCAGCGTCCTGATGGGTCCACTTAATCCTTATCGGCGTCCCGGATAGGTCCACTTAATCCCTGCAAGTCCACTTATACCTCACCGGCTTACCGAATGAGTCCACTTAATCCCTATCGACGTCCCGGATAGGTCCATTTATACCTCACCGGCGAACCAGATGAGTCCACTTGCATACTTAAATTATTTTTAAATCTCTTTCAACATTCGAAAGCAACAAATATCATGTACTCAATATATCACTGAAATCATTAATATGAATTTCACTGAAACCATTAATAACAGTCACTTTCAATAACATTTCAAAAATAACCAATCAAATATTTTGGGCTCAAATTTAGAAAGGTAGCAGTTTGTAAAGACATTCTAGCATAATTGCCAATTTAATATGTATAAAAAAAAAAACTCTTATAGAAATTCAAGAATACGGAATTATCACAATTTATGGGATATCAATTTACAAATAAGCATTTCACAACAATGCTATAATTAATTGCAAAA